AATTCGTTCGTGAACAATAAATCATATACGTTCACGAACAATAATCAAACACACAACACAACTACAAAACAAATATAATAATATAATATAATATAATATAATATAATATAATAATATAATATAATATAATATAATATAATATAATAATATAATATATGTTTGTGAACATGTTCGCGAACATTATTAAACGAACACAAACGAGCTTGTTCACGAACATTATTAAATGAATATAAATGAGCTTGTTCACGAACATTAGTAAACGAACACAAACGAGCTTGTTCACGATCTCTTAGCAAACGAGCTTACAACTGTTCAAGCTCTGTTCGTTTATTAACCGAGCTCTAAATTTTGTTTGTTAATGTTCGTTTACCTTAACAAACGAACATAAACGAACGCTTAACGAACATGAATACGAGTAGTTTGTCGAAAGCTCTGTTCGCTAACACCCCTAAGTGAATGGGGATGGATTATCCTTTCCTTGTAGTGGTGCTTCTAGTGTCTAAGGTAGGATTTGCAAGCTTGTATGTTTATTGGACTTCAAGAGAGCGTGTACTATTGCCATAGCCATTTTAGGTCTTTATGGCCTATCATGCTGTAATAGAGCACCCAATTGACAATGTTACACGGTTACACCTATGAGTCATTTCATCAAACACTTAGCCTACACATCATTCTGGACTTTGCCTTCTCGGATTTAAGGGCGACAAATGCGAGTGAGATTTAGGCTCTAGCATGTAACAATATCTTGTCAAACGTGCTATGTCTTAGATCATCCAAGTAATTGGGCCCTAACTCCAAAGATACAATCAAACCTCACTAGCACCAAGAAATCAATCAATACACACAATTACAAATCCAAATCAACAATTCATATCCACACTAGCACCATACAAGTACTTGCTAATCCAATCCCTAAGGAATTCTAGTCACTCATGTTCTCAAATTGAAAGCACATTGAATTGAAGTAGATGAAAGAATATGAAGATGAAATTGCAATGGAAAAGGTGTAGAGATTATCAAGCTTCAACTCAATTGTAACAATCAATCAACAAATGCTTCAATCAATCAAGAGATTTGCTCCAAGATCAAAGTAGTTTGTCAAGTTACTAGACCTAGGATTACTTTCTCTCTCTAGATTGTGAGAGTTTTTTAGATGACTAAAATCTGGAAAATATCAAGTTTAACTAACTAACTCACCTGATCGTGTAGCCTCTTTGGTGCCTATTCGCTGCAACACTCTTCCAAAAATGCTCCAAATCATGCCAATTTGCTACCACTTTGGTCGAAGATCCTTCAAAATACTAAAGCACAAATGTCATGTAAATGCATTTTCCTCTCAAATCAAGCACAAGACAACCCCAAAATGACCTCATAAAGATGCATCTTTGGCACTTATCAACAGCTTTCCCCCACAAGGAGTCTAGAGCACTAGAACTTATTAGCATTCTGTTAATAATTTCTTTAAGTGTTCTATTTTTCCTCTTAGCTATGACATTTTGTTGGGGTGTGTAGTGTGCAGTGACTTCATGTATAATACCTGATTTTTCACACAGACTTTTGACAAAGTTTGTTTCATATTCACCTCCCCTATTAGAACGAAGTCTTTTAACCTTTTTGTCTAATTGATTTTTCTATTTCTATTTTAAAAATATCAAAAACTTTTGTTCAATTGTCTTTTTTTTTTCCCCTCAAAAAATAAGATTTTTGAGAAATGAGAAAAGTCATCAATGAAAGTAATGTAATAACGTTTTCCACCTCTACTTTCTGTGTTTTTAAAATCTGCTAAGTCTGTGTGAATTAGTTCTAAAACACTTGTAGTACGATTGGTCATAGTAGAAAATGGTTTTCTAGCATGTTTGGCTTCAACACATATTTCACACTGAGAAAAGGAACCAATTATCAAGTTTGACAACATGTTCATTTTTTTAAATCTATTTAGACACTTTATGCAAATATGTCCTAATCTACTAGGCCACATATTAATTGAAACATCAATATAAGCAGAAAATGGTAGTATTACTAACATTAATGGAATCAACAAGGTTCAAAAGATCAGTGTGAACTATAGGCAAGTAGGCAACACAAACAGTCCCCAATGCAAAAAAACCCCTTCATAAGTATTTCCCTCTACGGGTCATGATCAAACGATTTGACTCGAACATTAACTTAATCCCAACCCTAATCAACAAGGCCCCGGAGATTAAGTTTCTACGAAGAGAGGGGACATACAACACATCAACCAAAAGCAAATAAATCCTTACCTAGAAGATAATTTAATTTATACTTTTCCTCTACTTCTTACCTTAGATACACTAGAGTTTCCCATTAAGACTTGCCCCCCTCGAGTGCTACTTGAAACTCTTTTAACAAGCTTTTGTTTGTGCATAAGTGATAGGATGCTTCAGTGTCCACCAACCATTCTTCAGTGTCTCTAACGAGATTGCCCTCCTCGATTATTACTGTTGCAATTACTTCCATGTTCTCCAAACATGTTTGCTTGGTTTATGGCATCTTCTTGATTTGGCTTCTATGCATTATGGTTGGTGACACCTTTGCGATGATAGCATTATGCTGCACAGTGTCCTTGTTTCCCACAGACAAAACACCCACCTCTTTTCCTGAATATTGTCATTTTTGAACCTTGATTATTGTTATTGTTTTCGAAGTTCTTTTTACGGTTCTTGTTTTGATCTCCAATTTCACCCTGTCATTTTGGCATTGGTTTCTACAACATTAGGTTTCAAATTGTCAAGAAAATAACAGACTTGTGTCTTAGGCAAATGACCTCTTCAATGTTGATATGATTCACTAGCTGCTCCATGGTGTAATTTTTTGTCTCATGCTTCATTTTATTTTGGAACTCTGACCAGGACTTGAGCAGCTTCTCTATTAAAGCATAGGTTTATAGTAATTCACTTACCAGTACGCCTTCAGCCACCATGTTTGCTATCAGATTCTCATATTCGTGAACCTGTTTAACCACGGGCTTGGATTATGTCATCTTGAAGTTCAGCCAGTGACCAACTGCGTGTTTCCTTCTACCTGCATCATCAGCACCATACTTCTTCTACAACATGTCCCAAATTGTTTTGATAGACTTATGTATAGAGAAGATTTCGGAGAAGGCATCAATCATATGTTGCAGCAAAGTGGCTCGTGCATATTTGTTGTCTTTCTCATAGTTTGGTACGAGCTTCTAGGGACTGAGCAATTAGTTTTGGTGCAGAAGCTTTTTGGTTAGGAGTAGCATTCAGAACTGTTACATGAGATTCTGGTAGACGTGATCACGGTTCGATTCCGGTTTTGAACCGGCGGTTCACGGTTCCAACAAATTGCAAACCGGAACCGAAACCTTATATTAAGGTTCCAGTTCCGGTTCTAACCTCTTTTTTTTTTTTTCTTTTTCTTTTTTTTTTTAAATGTTTTGTTTTAAAGTAAAAATTTGGTTGGGCACAGATGGCACAATTAGAAACAATTCAAAAGAATTGAATCGGCAGTGGCCACTTGGCTTATGTTTTTTTTTTTTTTCTTTTTGATGAATGTTTTGTTTAAATATATGTTATATATATATATATATATATATATATATATATATATATATATATATAATATTTAATATATATAATATATAATATCTAATACTCTGTAACTAATATATATTATAAATCTATAATATCTAATATATATTAATAATATATGCTGGCCAGTGGCCACACCGCCCCAGGCCATTTGGATTTTTTTTTATTAATTTTTTTACGTTTTGGAACCGGCGTCGGTTCCCGTTCCAAAGTTTTACAAACCTTAACCGGAACCTTATTGGTTCCGGTTAGGAACTGGAACCGTACGGACGGTTTCGGTTACTACAGTGACGGTTACAATTCGAACCGAACCGTGATCACCCCTAGATTCTGGTTGAGGATGTTATGTTGGAGTAGTCTGAGCATGGGCCTGGTAAGAACATGATCTTCAATGAGAACGTAGTCCATCTCCATCGACTCAAAGTGGATTAATTAGCATTTTAGCCGACCATATGTGATAGTTGATGTCGTTGAGCGCTTCGATTTTGAAGAGATCGACACCAGGTTTGTTGACGAAAGTCGGCATTCTGTTATGGAATCGCTTTTAATTGTTAGGGAATTTAACAATGTTGTACAACGTATGTATTAGTATAGGTTGCCTCAAAACAGAAGAAATAAAATGGAAGAAAGATTTATGTGTCGTGTTTAAGAAACACTGTCTTAAAAGTGAATTTCGAATAGACGGTTCAGTCTATAATCACCAGTATACTTTCAACGGGTAACACCGATAACATACGTTAACATGCACCTACTAAACGTATGAGAACCTACCTCTCAAAAGCTCAGACGAAGAAGGTAAAGAAGGCGATGGGGTGTGAAAAACGTAGGATTCTGAGCAGAGGGGAAGACTATTTATATGGGAGACTGACCAAAATGTTATCACACCACACATGCAACAGCAACATATATACACATGATTCCCCTCCATAATACTTTAAAGTTCAAACCTCTTTTAAAATGCTATCCTTTATAAGGCGGGAGTAGAAGATTTTGAAAGCAATGTGGAATAAAAGCAAGTTAAAGAAGCCTTTCCAACAAGGGCCCCACAATTTGATCACCAGACATAGGGATTTGTCGCGGGAGTTTTTTGTGAATAATGAAGCACAAAGAGTCAACATGCCTCTACTAAGGCTCGATCTCATAACCTTTCACATGAGAGAGGTCACTACATGTCATCTGAGCACATGGTGCTTGACAAATGTGGGAGTCTTAATGTTTAATAGTTTTCAATTATGTCTTGCTTTAATTCAATTACTATTTGTCACATTAGGAGGTCTGAGAACTTATTAGCTCATGCTACATGCACTGAGTCTGATCGTAGAACATATATAGGTGTATTAGCTATTTGCTTTCTGCTGTTTAATTTATATATTTCGTGGTTGGTTTAAAAAACAAAACAAAAGAATTTTAAAACATGATAAATTTCAAGGTGAATGAGACATTATTATTGAATACTGCGTGCATGCATTATTTTCACAGAGAGAACAGGCAAACAAAGAACCAATGTCCTTTTTCTTGAGGCACATATTACACAACATATTTGTTGTACTAAAATGATAGCCTTCTTTGTTACAGTATCAACATTTAACAGACACAAGCAAGAATACTGTAATTCATTATCCCACAATTCTATTCCTTAGATGGGAGGTAGAAAATCACAGCTGTTGTCAATCTCAGACTCCAAGTCGAGATCTGCATCGTCGTCAGGGTCCAACGACCCAGCAGCGACGCTCCCCTCGGTTTTTGAGGCTTGCTCTCCAGGAGTGTTCGCTTCCTGTATGATACGCATGATTTCTTCCACGCTTTGAAGTGAATGGTCACTTCCACCTTCATTGTAGCTCGTTTTCTCCCCGCCTTCCATCACCTCTTTTGGCAAGTTCTTGAGAAACCAAGGATGCTTTTTGATTTCGGGGATAGTGATCCTCTACATCAAGAATTCGAGTTTTTCCAATAAGCAACGGTTTCACTTATCACGAAGACATTTTCTTATCGGGCTGTTATAGCTAGATGGAATATGTAATAAGCACTATACAAAACAAAGAAGCTCAGTTGTTGCAGTAACAGCAGCATTTTTGTTAGTGAGCAAAAGTCTAGCCCTCTGTTGGTCAGTTGAGTCATTTATCATTTTACCCCTCCACAAACTGTAGGATTAGGGTATGGGGGTGCCTGGGGTGGGCAATTCCATCTTTTGTCACAAGTAACAACATTTTTGTTAGTGAGCAAAAGTCTAGCCCTCTGTGGTCAGTTGAGTCATTTACCATTTTACCCCTCCACAAACTGTCGGATCGGGGTATGGGGGTGCCTAGGGTGGGCAATTCCACCTTTTGTCACAAGTAACAGCATTTTTGTTAGTGAGCAAAAGTCTAATCTCTGTTGGTCAGTTGAGTCATTTACCCCTCCACAAACTCTCGGGCTGGGGTGTGGGAGTGCCTGGGGTGGGCAATTCCACCTTTTGTCACAAGTAACAGCATTTCCGTTACAAATACAAAACAAAGCGATTGTTACCTTGGATGGATTTGCAACGAAGATGCGAGAAAGGAGGTTCCTACAATCTGCAGAAACTCGTACATAATCAGGAATGGAGTACTGAACACTCAGTATTCTCTGCACATAACAAAAGAGATTTCTAAGTTGAAGGAAAAAGCAGACAAAAAAACGCAAAACCAATCTTCAGTTAAATCAAAGTATGCACTCACTCCAATGGTTTTACGAAAATTCCTAGGATCTTCAGGTTCCTCGAAAGGGTATGCTCCAACCAACATCACATACAGTGTAACGCCACAGGACCACACATCCGCAATCTAAAGTGGAGCGGAGAATGAACAATCAATTCATCAGCAGAACATGGTTAGCGAGTGCAGTACAAGAAGCAGACATTTCATTTCAAAACTAATTTCCAAAACGAAAATGTTTTTTCCCCCTCCTAATGTGGCTTTCATTCATCGGGTGCCATGAATTGGCTAACCCCGCCACTAGTTAAAGTGTTTGTTGGGGCCAAGTCCAGCACCCTGTCTCTCGAAAATGTGGCGGTTTATAAGGAAATAAAGTTGCGCCTTGGCTATTAGCCATAGCTTTTGGCATAATGGTAAGCGTTTGAGAGACAATTTTAGACCACACACAAAGCAATTGAGAGAGCAATATATGCTGGTGTTCCTTGGAGACAATTGAGACACCTCTAGGAGACAATTTTATACCTTTCCATCATATTCCTTTCTCGAAAGGACCTCGGGAGCAATATATGCTGGTGTTCCTACAGTTGACTTAGGTTGCGAATGCAGCAATCCAGACTGCAAGTCAAAAATATAAATAAACGTGTTATCCTATGAAGTTAATTACGGCAGACAACATTAACCTCGATCAAAAGAAAGAAACCTTGGAATAGCCAAAATCACATATTTTCAGGCGTGGTGTTGGACTTCCATCCAGGAGAGTGTTTTCAAGTTTCAGATCTCTGTGACAAATTTCCTGCAGAAAAGAAAAAGCACCGTTGAGAAGAGCAGAAAGTAAAAAAGAACAGTGTAAAACACAAAAAGCGAAATTTAATTTATACCATGGAATGACAGTAACTGACTCCAGATATTAGTTGATGAAAGAAAAACCGAGCCTGTTGATGAATGAACAAACAGCAGCCAGTTAAACACAATAAAAGCGGGGATTGGAGAAACAAGGATTTTGCGTCTTAAAAACCTCGTCTTCACTAAATCTGCCAGCGCTACATATTCTCGCAAAAAGTTCTCCCCCGGCTGCATACTCCATAACAATAGCTAAATGTGATGGAGTCAACAAAACCTGCAGAAAGCATTAAATAAATGGTTCCAATTACTCTGCTCGAGAAAGGAAAAGTTATATTGCCACTACGCCAAAAGCTATAGCTAGTAGGGAAGGCGCAAATTTATTTCCTTATAGACTGCCATCACATTTTCGAGAGGCAGGGTGCTGGACTTAGCCCTTCCCCGGCCTCTGCCCAACAATCTCCCTAGCCACCAATTGATGGATTTGGCCTTTTACCGGCCTCCACCCAACAGAGTACATGTCTAGAAATGCCCCCGTTATCAAAATTCTAGCTAGTTGAGAGGGTGCAAGAGGATAATTGTGAATCAAATTGGGAATCTACAAATACCCACAATGTTGAACTTTCTATTAATCTCTCATTACAATAACAGGAATATTGTTATTTCTTTTTAAGAGATATCTTTCTCATTGTTGCATAAAATCCAAAAATGAGCTGAAGGGTTTTTTTTTTTTCCCTGGTTTTATTTGTCTATATATTTCATCAACATAACAGAAATGGCAACATAGTATAGTCAAATTCTCATCATGCATAGCAAGCATTGTCTTCAAGAATCTTGTTAGTGAAATATCCAAGCTTCCAAAAGAACGGAGTAACAAAATTATACAAACTAGAAGGCATCTATGAATCCAAGTTGATAACAAGCTTAAAAACCCCTTAAGAAAGGTCGGGAGTTCGACCCCCCTCGTATGGAAAAACCATTTTAGTCAGCACTTTGTCCCTTAACTGGGCCAGTCCAGTACGAATGGGGATTAGTCTGAGTATAGTGCGGGCTTAAAGGTGCCTCCTACAGTTGGAGTCTGCTCAGGACACCTCATGGCCTGACAAAAAAGTATTAACAATAAACAGATATTAAAAGATCATGATAGATATTTACCTCCTTAAACCTGATGATATTTGGATGCCTCAGTGACTTATGATTTATAATTTCCCTTTGTACATTCTCATCAATCTATAAAGAAGAAAAGGAATACCCTTATGTTAGAACACATTACCTAAAAACAGCCTTCATACATAACCATCAATGATCAGAGATTTCCCATATTTTTTCCAGATTGAACTGTACTGTTAAGGTATTTCACATATTTCTGCAGTGATTGAAACATTAAGCATAAGCATCAGAAAAAGCTTGAATTCTCTGTCGGGCCGGGACGTGGGGCCCTTGGGTTGGGATTCAACCTCTTGGGGAAGAAGAAAAAGCTTGAATTGGGCAATTAATATAAACAACCAAATCATGATTCACAAAAAAAAAAAAAAAAAAAAAAAAAAAACCTTAAAAACTTTTCATATGCTGGCATAATATGCAGAAAAGTTCAGTTTTGGACTCACAAAAGAAGAGGATACTTTGATAAATAAGAGCAGAAAATTACCTTTTTCCCTCTTTCTATATACTTGACAGCAAAAAGTTCCTTGGTCTTCTTGTCTTTTACCAGCCTAGCCACTCCAAAATTCCCAGAACCAAGCTCCTTCAATGGCTCATACTTTTCCTCCATCGCAACTCAAATAAACCCAAACTTCAACAGAAGAAAAAAAGCTCCAAAACCACAAAACTTCAATACCCAACAAATAAATTCAAGAAAACACAAATAATACCCAGAATTGCATAAAAGGAAACAACCTTTTTGTTAACATCTACATCACCCTATCCTCACCAACCCATTGATTGCAAATTTGGAATTTCTTAAAGCTTACTACATAACAATGCGGCTATATGTATATATTTATATGTTTTGACCTCAATGGATAACATATATATTAATTTAAATTATGGCTCTAATTCATTGCTTTTCAATTAAATTATATATCATAATAAAAAAAAAATTGCAGCTTGGATAGCCGTGCTTCTAATATGCTTCTCACGAATAATCATTGGGACACTTGCCATAATTAAAAGATGGAAACTTTGTTATAAAAAACGAAGTGTGGGGACGAATTTGGAAGGCACGTACATTGGTTGGGTCGGCTGAGGCTCAAGAAAGAACATTTTCATTACATTGGACACGACCACATGGGAGCTGAAACGCTAACGGACTCTAGCCTGACACCTGTGATTATGAGGTGAGTTTAGGACGCACGATAAGACATAAAATTGTTTTCTGTCACGGTAATTCACTGACTTAGTAAATAGGATTAAATGAGTAGAAGAGATTTATCTGCTTTGAATATAATTCTTATACAATTACTATTGTAAATTTTTTAATCTTGTTCTCTCCTCCTAAATATTGTCTCCTAAACTACTCAGAGAAGAAGAAGTTAAGTCTTACAATGGACAAACCACATGGAAGCTAAGTCTTACATTGGACAAACCACATGGAAGCTGAAACGCCTCTACACTGACACCTGTGGTTATGAGGTGAGCTGAGGGCACACACTAAGAGTGTAAGACATAAAACTGTTTTTCTTCTTTCAAAAGGTTGAATCCCCAATTTCTACCTAACAAAAATTTGTTCATTTTGAACATAATTCTCATACTGTCATTGTCGAAATTTGAACGTTGGTCTCTCCTCTTAAATACTGCCCATTGAACCATTGAGCTAAGCTCAAATATTAAAAAAATCACTAGCCGCCCTCTAGGGGTGAGGACCGCCTAGGGCGCCTAGGCGCGATTTTTACAACATTGGCTAAGCCCATGCGGGCATAAAACTGTTTTTCTTAATCGAGCATTCGGTTGAAACGAGAGAAATAGGTGTAAAGAAATTATAATTTTGTGAGAAAAGAATAAAGTGGAATAAAATATGAATTCAAAATTTTTTGGTACGAAGGAATAAAATTATTGGAAATTAAAATTTATAAAGAAATAAATAAATAAAGACTAACATGCCCTTATGTAATAATAATAGTAATAATATAATAATATAATAATAATAATAATGATTATTATGGCAAAGTTGGCATATGCTGTGGAATTTCAATTGCATAGTCTATGACTAAATGTGATTCATGTATAATATAATAGTCAATGGACTAAAAGTGAAATTTATTCTCCATTTTCATATTAATCGATCCGTCTCACAGATAAAGATTCATAAGATGGTCTCACACAAGTATGACTCAATGTATAAAAAGTGAAAAGTTTTAATGCAGTTTAAATTTAAAAATTAGATATTATTTTGAAAAAAAAAACGAGCTAAAAAAAGAAAGTATGACAAATAAATTGAGATGTAAGAAGTAAAATTATTTTTAATGGTAAAAAACTATTATTTGATCAATTGTTTATCAGCCATTTAATTTATTAATTAATTATAATATGAAAGGGACATTCTACTAATTGAGTTTATAGAAAGAAAAAAAAGTTAGTGATTAAAATTAATGGCGAAATTAAATAATGAATAAAATGAGAATATAATACAACTGTTTTTAGTACAGAGTAATACATTACGTGTGCTACATTATTTTTTGAGTCGTTGTAAATGTGCGTCGCATGTGGGACCCTTGCCAGTGACTTGGCGGTTTGGTTGTAGTACTTCTTGATTCTTGAATATTATCTTTATCTAATCATGAGCTGCCGTGGTTTTATAAATAAAATAAAAATTCAAAAATGTTTTTCCCTCTAGAATTTCTCTTACCCTAAATACTGCCCACTAAACTATTGAGCTAAGCCCGTACAGGCCCTCTAGGCAAATTATGCCCTGGAAACGTGTTCACCATGAATGGTGAACACAGATCCAAACGGTACCGTTTTTACGGGAAAAAAAAATCGCTATTGTGGTGTTAACGGCGTGCGTTTGGTCAGATTATGAATTTTCTGTTATGAGATTATGAATGTAATGTAAATTCATAATCTCATAACAGAAAATTCATAATCGCATTAAAGAAAAACATTTATTAAATTATGAATTTTCTGTTATGAGATTATGAATCATAACAGAAAATTCATAATCTCATAATAGAAAATTCATAATCTCATAACTGCACATTCATAATCCATGCAATTATGAATGTGCAGGCATGGATTTATGAATGTGCAGTTATGAAATTATAAATTTTCTTTTTATGAGATTATGTTGAAGAAGCTTGCGCGAAGAGGAAGTGAAACCGCAAAATGTGAAAATGAAAAAGAAAAGTCGCGCGGTTAATTAAGAAAAAAAAAAAAAAAGATAACGATGCATTGTTACCGTTGGGACCGTGTTCACCATGAATGGTGAACACGGTTTCATGGCATAACGATCCGGTCCTCTAGAATTTCTCTACCATATTTTTTCTCTTGAAGTGATTTTCGTTCATTAGATGTCTATAAATTAGTGATAAAAATAGGGCAAATTATTGAATGCGAGTTCACCTTGTAAAGTAGACTCGAGTCTGAAAATACACAATTTATATACCGAATGTTCACAATTATTTACAAATTGAATGTTCACAATTTTATATACTAAATGTTCACAATTTACATACTGAATATTCACAATTTGAATTGTGAACTCAGTATGTAAATTGTGAACATTCAATATATAAATTGTGTATTTTGACTAAGGTCCACCTTACAAGATGGATCCTAGTCCATGGCATAATTACTCATGGAAATAGGCCGAGTCGATTCAAGGTTTAGAAAATTAGGTCGAGGCCTATTACGAAAATCAAATGCCTAGGCTTGGGCCTGGACCTGAGCTTGTATCTAGGCTTTTTGTTAGGCTCAAGCCTGAGCCTACAATGGCCTGGTTATGCCCTGAAACCCTTTTAAAAGCATGTTTAATATGTTTGTATGTCATTAAAAAGGGTTCAAACTAAGTCTTGTTTTGAGTTAATTTAATGCCTACATGTTAAAGTTTTTTTAAAAATTTTTAATAGTATTTCTAAATAATTTAAGAAATATACCTAATACAAAACTAATATATAACTACATAAATATATCAACATTCATCACAATGCAAACATAATAGCATTAAAAAATGAAATAAAATAAAATGTGTCACGACTTCAACATACTCTTGTAGTGTACCATCATTTTGTGGGTCAGGCTGTGTACTCATGAAATCAATATCATCCAAACCAATAAATACACTATCATCTGTGTCAACTCTTATATTATTTTGTTCTTCAACTTGTATTTTTTCAACTATGTCATCCGCTGCCTGTGCATCTTTTCTAGTTGCACGATCTTTAGAATATATTGTAAATAACTCATTATAAAACCTAAAACTTCTTGTTCTAAAAGGTGTAGCTTCTTTGTGACTCTATAATAAACATATAAAATAAAGTATTAGTACTATACATTAATAAAAATAAATGAAAATAAAACAAAATGGTATTAAGTATGATTCCAAAATTGCATCTTCAGCATAAATCATGTGCTTTTGCTCATTCTAACCAAACTCACTAGTGTCTTTACCTTGCACCATATGCCTCATTCTTTTTTCAAAGTTTTAATTCTACTCTCAATATGTGGCTTAACTTTTATGGTAGAATTTGGTATTTTTTCCAAAATCATTCTTTCAATTTTTAATAAATAACCTGTCTTAAACCCTGTATCGGGGTTATATTTTCCTACGTTATGCATTTCGATCAAACAAGACACTAATATAATGTCTTCTTCGGGTGTCCACTTTCTTTTTGTTTGCTTAGCACTTTGAGAACCAATGATTGCAGATGTAGGGGGAGTCATTCTTAACTACAAATAAAATACATTTATAAAATACATAATAGTGTCCATAAATTGGATTAATAAAGTATTCACCAAAACTCAAACACATAACATTGTTCATAAACCACATTACAAAACACACACACACACACACACACACACACACACACACACACACACACACACAAAACATCAATGAACATGTCCTTAGACGATATCCCTTCATTGAACATGTAATTTGCTAATCTGTCATTCAATTATTTCAAACTTCTGAAAGCTCTATTTGTGTAATATTATCATCTTCATGTATTCCGTTACCTTGTACCAATTGATCTTCCATAGGATCAACATTCATCTCATTTGTAATAAAATTATGCAGCAAACAACATGCAAGTATAATTCAGTTATGCATTCTAACATGACAAAATGATGGGCTTCTAAGTATAGTACATCTCATTTTCAATAACCCAAAACACCGTTCTATGACATTGCGAGCAACTGCATGTTTCATATTAAAAAACTCTTGAGCAGTTCTCGATGGATGGCCTTGATGCATTCATTTAAGCGGTACCTTTGACTTCTAAATGGTGCTAAAAATCCCTCACTATTAGCATATCCTCCATCAACTAAATAGTAACAACCTATAAACATAATTTTATAGTTTAATAAGAATGCATATTATAATACATTATATTTGAAATTGAATATTATAATGCTTACCATTAGGGGCCCTAAGTGGATGCCTTCTAGATAATGCATCTCGAAGAACTCTACTGTCTACTACAGATCATTCCCATCCCGGAAGAACATAGACAAATTGCATATTAGGTGTACATACACCTAATACATTTATTACAATTTTACCCTTACGAGATCGAAATCTAAGTTTATCTTCTTATGACACTTTTATTCTAATAAATGTTCCATCTAAAGCTCCTAGACAATTCTAAAAATAATATCAACATTATTAAATATATATTCTGTTAGAATGTGGCTCGAAATCATTCATGAAGACCACTCTCCATGAAGCTAGCATTTTCCTTCATTACCTCCACGTTGCAATCCACTTCTTGCATGTCGTCTCCGATCTTTGATCCCCTCCTTTGCATGCCGCATATCTCTCATTTTTTAAGTGTATAAATAAAGGCTTTGATTTGTAATAATCACACATCAATTTTTTAATTCATTTTATTCCTTCTTTTGCATTCTCTCTCTCTCTCTCACACACACACACACACACATACACACACACACACACACACACACACACACACACACACACACACACACACACATATATA